ACACTTGTGTTCAATCTATAATATACAATCCACGTTTTACGGCCTTCTCACTAGATGGAGGGATACGTTTGGCTATGACAGTTATAGTATTGGCGGTTACTGCAACTGTGATTGCAGTACTATGCATTGTTCTCTCCTTCTATTTCATAAGGATGAGTGGACATCTGTCACAGAAAACGAAGCGAATGCAAAGACGATTTCTCATCTACCTTTGTATACAGGTAGGTAAAGAGTGTTCGTTGCATTAATGTTTTTTTTCGCATTTCGTAAACAGAGCACGTGGCAGCCGTTGTAGTTCGCAGCGTAAATACTTAGGTTTTGATCCTGAAGGAACCCTGTCTCAGGTTCTCCCAGTTAGAGCCATTATTCATCAGATGTAAGAACAAATGGCAGGAAACTTTTCGTTACTGTCCGCGTGTTGATACACGTCGTATGCTTATAAAAATGAGTGAACTGCGGTCCCCACCGGCGGCTCTTCCAACACTGTTCGTTTCCCTCTTAACCCGTTTTCCTCTTACTACTCGTTCGCCATTGCTAGCAAGTCAGGCGGAGAAGGGGTGATCCGTCCCTCTCACGCCGTACCTCGACCGACTGCAATGTTGCAAACTATAGTTGCTTTTCAGGTGGCTATTCCCGCGCTAACTATGTTGGTACCTATACTGATGTTGGTGTACGTCATCGGAGCCTTCACCAATGGAGGTTTATTTCTTTATTTATCACTCACTAAAAGTCCCGCAGTTCCCTCACAGCCAGAGCAGTAGTTGAAAGTACATGAATCAGGCTCTACAATGCCTTTTATCATGTTTACATATGTATTTGTTATCCTCATAATCAACTGCAGGGGCAATAGCTAAAAATTTTGTAATAACATAATGATATTGAACGTCTGGTAGAGAAGAGGTGCAGCGGCAGGTAGCGCCACTTACCGCGAGCGTTGTCGAATGTCAAACTCCGGGTCGGATCCCGTTCAAGCTACCCAGGCTTTTCATCCCTTTGCAAATGGGTATGTGTGCTATATTCGTCTGGGAGGGCAAAAGCACCCACTACACTAGCTGCCTCCGAGCACGCCTTGCGGGTCAGTTCACTTTCAAAAGACAGAACGACTTTGAATATAAATGAAATGCCCCCTCGAAGCCCTAATCGTGATTCAGTGACGTGAAAGCCATGTCCTTAGCGCTTCCCTATGCAGTGAAGCTTCGCACCTTTCTGGGACCTTAACAGTGTTGTGATGCTCTTCGGCATGGGCAGCAACTGGTAGGCGGTCACGTGTAATTCTCATCTGGCTAAACGAGAGATCAGATCTGTTCGGGTATTCGTTCCCTCTTTTACTTTTTTTTGACTGCGCTCTACAGTCCTGTGTTGTTCGCAGAGCCTTCGCACAGCTTTGAGTATAGATTCAAGTGGCAATGGCGAACCCTGCAAGGATTTCTCCTTTTTATTCTGTCCGGATTCCGTTTCAAATCAACCAATATCCCCGTGATCTGATCCCTGAGATCCCTGTGCGGTGTGAAAAGTTTCACGAAACTTTAAGAAGGCGCACGGCCTTAGCCTCTTCCAGGTTTTCTTTCCACTACATTGAACTTTCGAGAGAGTAATTCATCTCAATGCATAAGTCATGTTATCCTGAGAATGAGTACAAAGCTAGTCCGACGCCAGAAG